TTCCATATTTACCCCTCTTAAAGACACATGTGCCCCATATTCACTCAAAAGTTATGTGTTTAAAAATATCGTTACTTTATGATAGTTATAACAATTAAGTCTATGTTAAGAATTCTAGATCGGTTCTACACATTCAAGAGTGCAATTCAATAAATGCAATATTTGAATCAATGACATTTTGGTTGCTAACCGTGGTGGAAAAGTCTTATATTTTTCAGATTTAAGCTTATGTATGTTTTTATTTGAAAAATATCACACAAATGTCTTTATTGTAACTGGTTATGTTTCTTATCTTTGTTCGAAGAGACCACGGTTCAAATCTCATTATTAATGTATTTTTCTGTAAATAGGAAAAAAGAAGTGATTGTGAAAACGAATTTACCCTTCCTACTTTCACTGTGGATAGGGTAGACAATCAACATATCACTCGGTACTTCACTATACCATGACAGTAAAAAAAAAAAAAATCCAATGATCAACTAGTCGAGTTCTAGCAACTCCCACACAAAATTCATATTTCACCTTCCCTTTAAATATAATAATAATAATTACCATAATTTTCCCATCAAAACGAAAAATGAATTTGAGGGTCAACCATCAAAAGGAGACAGCACAAAATTAAAACTAAAAATTGAAATTACAGGGTGTTCAAGTTAATACTTATCACCATGAACCCTACATATCTGCATATGTTGGCCCTCATCAAGCCGACAGTATCTCGTGAATCATGACGATGATGTTTCAATCAACATGTCTCATTGGAGGAACATTTGCATGCCTTAGTCAATAATACATCCAAATCTTACAAAATAATAATAATAATAATAATAATAATAATAATAATAATAACAATAATATACCCCATATTTTGCGTGTTTATTGATTAAAGACGACCAAATTTCATTAACTAATTAATTTTGTAAGATATTCAGAATCTTAAGCTTGACAGCTTTAAGCTTTTATATGTGTTTAAAATCATTCGATATATGACCAATTGGGATGAGGAGAGGGAAACCTTGACAGCTGAGGAAGGGCTTGAAAATAAGTTGTGGTAATTTCTATCAGGAAAATTGTCTGCTGCTTATGTGTAATCTACAGCAATTCGGACATAAGTCCAGATTAAGTGATCAACTAAAAGAGTTTAGTTATGTGATTAAGTATTTCAGTGATGCACGAGTCATGGGTATTCATCTTTATTCAATCTGGTAATATTGGATAAAATTACTTGTTGACGGGTTTTGAGTTGAGTTTAGGTAAAACCTAAGTTTGGATCTTCTGAGTTGGGTACGGTGTGGCTTTGGCTAATACTCCATCCCGTAAGCACCCGATCGACTCGCACCCATACGCCAAAACCACAATTTTGATTAACAATATATACTAGTTTGTACTCTATGGTTGTTTACTTTTAATATTGGATGATATTTTATATGAATAATATATATCAATATAATGTAGGCCCAATTTGTGCATATTATTAATTTCGTTGCAGGGAGATTTTTGAATATGAAAATGTGAAGGTTTTCACCATTTTTGGTGGGTGCACCCGACGAGTTCAGTTTGAATTTGGGGACTTGATCCTACCTGATATATTGCCATCTTACGTGTTACCAAGTATAAATCGATTATTACAAGAATTAGCAGAAAGTTCGTCAATCTCTAACTATTGTTTATGAATTGGCCCATAAAGTTCACTCATGAATGACATGTTCAATCATCAAGGCTCCTCCATTATTACTAAGATCCCCACGAATGATTACTAATAAACCCTAGAAAGGTTATCAATGACCATTCAATCAATTAAAACCGGTGACTACAATATTTGAGATATTTGTTAAACATCATCATAATTTTAAAACATATTTGTTAAAACTTTATAGTAAAAAAAAAGTAACAAATATTATGGAAAAAAGTAATAAACATAGTTTGATAAGGCGTGTTCCATGATTCAAATGAAACAATCTAACTTTAATTGATAAGGCGTGTTTTGAGGTGAAATGGAGGATTTCTGGTAGGAACTTGAAAGTTAAACGTGCTTAGTGTGGAGTTGTACAAGGACGGGTGACGTCTCGAAAAATCACCATGATGCACACCAAAAGTAGAACCATTTGGGGCTAGACCATAAACGGGCAATATATTGGACAAAAAGAGGTTGGGGATGTTATAAGTGGTAACAGAGCCTCTCTGTGTCCCTCTTGAACGATGACGTGGGACACACCTCAACTCTAAAGTAGGTTGTATGTAACACCTTAGCCAAATCACACATTGGCAAAACACGAGAAAAATCCATTGTTTATAAGAAATCATCCAACTTTAACTGACAAGACACATTTTGTGGTGAAATGAAAGAGTTTTGGTAAGAACTCTGAAGTTAAACCTGCTCAGTATGGAGCAAATTAAGGATGGATGAAAACTCAAAAAATCACCATAATACATCAAAAAAGAAAATCTTACGAGACTACACCCGATGAGGACAATTGTTATAGATAGATTAGGAATACAAACTTATTATCTGTTTCACATAAAAAAATATCAGTGTCAGGATTTGAACCCGTGTCTTTTCAAACAAAGACAGCAAGCATAATCAATTACACTACCGCGGGAAAACAAACTTATTAGGATTATAGCTATGGGAAAGAAAAGGCAAGATAAAGAACTAGACTGAGAAAGGGAGGAGGGAATTAACCAGGTGACTGGGGACTCATGTCTCCAGGACAAGAAAAGAAAAAGAGTTTAGGGTTATTAGATCAAGGCTGTTAAGTAATAGGCTCTGATACCATATAGGAGTTTTAGGAATAGTAACTTGTTACTTGTAGCTTGTATTATTATGAAACCACAAAGAGGGTTTTGTTAGAAACCGAACAAAAAATTTAGGGTTACCGATCTGGCTAAGTCGCGGACTAGGTCGCTCTCTTTAAGACGTTCGCGGCACTGCCTCGTTATTCGCACAACAGACTATCAGCCGGTCGCCTCCAGGATAAAACAGCCACTCTTTTGATTTGCTCAGCGGTTTTGTGCGGAAAACCGGAGCTCTTTGAATCTCACTCTCTCTCGTGTTTCTGCTCTCTGAGGTGTGTTTAGAGGGTCTGGGGCGTCTTCTATTTATAGGAGCAGAAAACCCAGAATATTCCCTCTTTCTTTGGGAATAAGTCATATTTTAATTAGGGAGATAATTACTCCCATAATTAAAATATAATCTATTAAGATAATTATTCCTAATTATCTCCTTAATATTCCTTTTATTAATTATCCATCTTATTTTTCGTATCTAGAAAGAATATTGGATAATTAATTCAATATAGCTTTCAAAGCTATTCATTCCCAACAGGTTTATATAGATTACAAGGTTTGGACAATAAATAAGAAAACCACAATAATGATAATATTAAAAGGACAAAGAAATATAAAATTATTTATAATCTATTTCTAACAACAATATCTTAATAAGTAAATACCGCTAATGTTACACATTTGATATATGTACTGAACAATGGGTTGTAAGTTGTAACTGTTTTACAATAGATTTCTTCCATTGTGATTCGTGAAGAGAAGCATGTTTACTGTCGTCGCCAATGGGAATCGACTCAGTAGTCCCTCAGAGACTATGTGTTATTTATGAATTTATGATGGTAATGGAACCTAGAAAAATATACGAGGACAAGAAAAGAGAAACAATAACAATAAACGGCAGTTGGTTTGGTATGGTCTGAATGCACCTTTTAACCTAATACAATAGTTAATTTTAACAACACTAATGCCTAGTGGTAGATAACTAGATATGTCAAGAGTATTTGTATATAGTATGTACCGGTAGTTTCCAAGAGGTTGTTATTTGTTAACGTGACTGCGCCTTTGAGATTCCAAATTATCTTCAACTTCGAGTTTTCGTGGGAAGTCAACAGTGCTTTTCAACAGAACCTATACAAATTAAATTGAATTTCATGGGATGATCGTGCAAATTAATTGGAGATAAATCAGGAATCATGAGCTAATAGAATGAGAGTGGATAAGAAAATACATTAGACTCGATCTGCTTTATCACACTCCCACAAATTGAGGGCTCGTGACCTTAAGATTGGCACCAAAATACTTAGTTTTTTCTTCTTTTCCTCATTGTTGTCAAATTTTCGTCTTAACGTCCCTCTTACTTCTCCACTTACAAAACTTTTTAATCCGTTGTAGAATGCTCCTTTATCGTTTTTATCCTTTTATAACATATATTGCTCATTTCTACCAATTAATAATGTTATCATCATTGATAACAACAAAAATTCACACGTCCATCCAAGACTTATTAGAATTAGTGGGCTTAGGTTAGATCCGTCTTAATTATCATAATCTCCAATTAGATAATTGGATTGACAACTACGGGCTCTTGTTTATGGTGAATAATTGAGGTTAACAACAAAAGGGGAATAGGTGGAAGGATGACGTTTGACCACTCTACCACCACTGTCCACAAAACTCTATATGAGGTAAAGAAGGAGGTAATAATGTTTTATGTGGGGGATAAGGGAGTAGCCACTAGCTAACCAATTTGATTGGCCACGACAATTTATCTTTCTTCTAATACCACCCACTACACCACCACCAACAACAAAGTTTATGGATCCACTCTAACTTAATTTTTTTTTTCTATGTAATGAATCAATGTTACAAAATAGGAATCATACCCATGTTTGGCCCGGTTTTAGAAGTGTTTTTCGGCTTCAAAAGCCGAAATATGACCAAACACCTCTAAAAGCTAGGCTTTTGAAAAGCCGAAAAGCGCTTTTGTATAACATAAAAGCAGAAGCTCTAATTTGGAGCTTCTGCGAAAAGCTGTTTTGAAATTACAAGATTATCCTTACCATATTTTAATTTTATTTCATAAAATATAATTTTCCTTCATTTATATCATTTTAAAATAAAATAAATTATAAAATCATATTATTCAATATAAAATAAATCTAACAAGATCCATTTTGACTACTTTTTATTGTTCAGAATTTTTATTGATATTTTTTATTATAAATCCTTTATAGTCATTTTAGACAACCTCTCATATTAAAAAAGAGGGTTACTATTTGCCGCCCGGGTAATTACTATTTGCCGCCCGTAAAAAACACTAAAAAGACAATTTTGCCCTCCAAAATTTTCTTTATATTCTATTCGCTGAAATGGTTTTTTAACATATACACTACCCGAGTCCCGACCACCAACTCCCCACAAACACCACAGCCAGATTCACGGCCACCGGACGGCAGCCTAAGTCGCCGGCCACCGGACCAATCTCGTCAGCATAATTCGCCGGGCACTGGACGGCAACCGTACCCCATCGTCGGACCAGCGAAGCAGGTTAACCCCACTGACTTCCTGGAATTTTTTGCCCGTCCGCTCGCCGGTGGCGGACCCCGTCCGCTCGCCGGAGGAGGACCCCTTCCGCTCGCCGGCGTCGGACCCCACCCGACGCCGGCGAGCGGACGGCGCCCGTCGCCGGGGACTGGATGCATCGGAGTCGGCAGTGTTATATATTTTTTTTAATTTGAGACAGGTTATTATTTCTAGAGCTAATAATTTATATTTAATTTATTGCTTTTATTTCTATTTTACATACTTAAATTCATATGTAGTTTGAATTAAGAGATTGTATTTTGTTGTAGCGCTAATTAGTTTCTTACTGTCAAATTATTGTTATTTTGTAGAGTTAATTAAATTATTGCATGTTGTTTAATTTTGTAGAGTCAATTGAAGCACAATTAGTTTAATTAAGTGATTGTGTTTTGTTGTAGCACTAATTAGTTTATTGTGTTTAGATATAATTCGTAGAGCTAAAGAAGTTTAATAATTTGTATTTAAATAATTTTCTTATCGTAAAATTATCATTATTTTTTAGAGTTAATTAAATTATTGCATTTAGTTTAATTTTGTAGAGTCAATTGAAGCACAATTAGTTTAATTAAGTGATTGTGTTTTGTTGTAGCGCAAATTAGTTTATTGTGGTTAGATTTAATTCGTAGAGCTAATTTGGTTTAATAATTTATATGTAAATTATCATTATTTTTTAGACTTAATTAAATTATTGCATTTAGTTTAATTTTGTAAATTTCTAACGAGTTGTAAAATCATAATTGCAGGTGGACATGGATTACAATGAAGAACTAATTGGTGATTACACATACCATTTTCTCAATGGCGTCCGATACGACAATTTCGAAGATGTTGTAACAGTTACCAAAAACATCGCGATGTCTCTTGGTTTCTTTCTAACTAAGGGATCGATGAAGCCACGTGAGTTGAGCAACAAAAGATTATTGGGTATCTGTTATATGTATTGCGACAGATGCAGTAGGGAGAGGAAGTCATACAAGCCGGATCCTTCCAAGGAGAGTCGTGGCAATACAAGTTCAAAAGGATCGGGGTGCATGTTCAAGATTAAAATCAAAGAACTACTGGTTAATCCAGATGCTCTTGATGGACCTTCATTCTGGGAGATACAAGGAGTGACGGAGTAAGGAACCGGTTTAAGGCGAGGGTATCACAATCATGAGAAGATGCTTTATCCCGAGGGCCACAGTCAAATGAATCAATTGAGTCAGGAGGATAAAGAATCTCTGAGGCAGATGAGAGATGCTGGGGTACCTCCGTCGCAACAGAAGCAGACTATAAACAAGCAGAAGGGTGACAAAGGGCATCACACCCAAAGGCAGATGTATAACCTCGGGTCCAAGTCTAGGAAAGACGAGATGGGCGAGATGAATGCAGTGCAGTATGCGTTGCTAGCAGCTGAACGTGAGAATTATCATACAGAGGTTATGAAGGACGATGACGACGTGCTGACACATCTTTTTTTTGCCCATCCAACTTCCATCCAGATGTTGAAGGCTTGGCCGTACGTGATTTTGATCGACTCAACGTATAAGACCAATGCATATAAATGGCCGTGGGTGGAGGTCGTAGGTGCTACTCCAGTTGGGAAGAATTTCAACATCTGTTGTGCTCTCATGAAGGATGAGACAAAAGAGTCGTATCTGTGGCTGTTGCAGTGCATACAACAATTGCTCCATCCACGGGTGCCCACTGTCATCGTCACCGACCACGAAGGTGGACTACTTGCTACGGTTCATGTGGTCTTCCCCCGCACCCCGCACCCTGCATTTGCTATGTGTTTGGCACATCAACACCAATGTGCAGAAGAAGTGTTTGGAAATATTTGGGAAGGACATGATGGATTTGGTCAACGAGGCGTACGATCAATATTGGTGTCCTATGCTTTATTCTTGGTCAGAGCAAGGTATGTTGGCCGCGTTTGGACGCTTTAAGACAAGATGGGGCAATTACGAACCACGTCTGTTGCAATACATACAGGGAGTGTAGTGGCAACATCGAGAAAAGTGGGTTGTTTGTCATACCAAAAATGTGTTTCATCTAGGAAATACGAGCACAAACAGGGTTGAGTCGTCACATTCTGCTTTGAAAACTTTCCTCCACAAATCGCGGGGATCTATGGACACTGTATGGAAAGGAAACCACCACTACATTACTAACCAACTCGGGGAGGTTAGGATGATGTTGGAAACTCTAGACAGAAAACCCTTTCAGCATCCGGTGGTACGCCATTCACATACTTGAGAATGAAGGTCAGCATGCATGCAATTATATTAATGAAGGAGGCTGAAGAAGAATTGGCTGCCCGCTTGGAAAAAAATGAGAACTCCCGATGTGCATGTCATTTCTCTGTGACACACGGCTTGAGGTGTGGATGTCAAGTTATGGATGGCAGAGCGCGAGACATAGAGATATACCCCGGTGATATTCATATGTATTGGCGGACACTGTCATACGAGCATCCACCCAATGCTCAGGAGTACGTTCCCCAGGAGGAGGACGCTAAATCTCACCTTCAGGAGTTGGTTGATGAGGCTGTACGCAGAGGACCAGAGGCAACGAAAAAAGCAGCAAAGAACGTGTTTCGCGGTCTCCACCCGGCGGAAGACAACATTCACGAGCCAGAAGTGAATGAATCACGAAAGGGACGCCCAGCCAAAAAATCAACGGGAAGAACTAAAGGGTGGTGGGAAAAGATATTGCGAGGAAAGAAGAAAGACATGAAAAAGAAGTCGGGAAGCGCAACGTCGGGGTCAACAAAGTCGACCAGTACCAAGTCCACGGGGACTCAGACAGACGAGTACCCGTCAGACGACCATGCAGCGGAGGAGTGTGACGATCCCGAAGAAAACAACAAATACAACTGTCCTGACACAGGTACAATTTAAATTTTTCATAAGTGTAGTTATTTATATTAATATTTTACGTCGAATTTGTGCTGATTATCTATTTCCTTCACAGAGATCCCTGGAACCAGCAGCACCCATTCTGATTACGCACACATGGAACTGCTTCCTGTCTTCATTCAACCGCTTGTCATTGCCATCCATGACCCGGTGCCAGACGGTCATTGTGGGTTTCGTGCACTTAGTTTTGCACTATATGGTAATCAAGAAGGGTTCCCAGAGGTGAGGCGAAGACTTGCTGAAGAAATGCATGAGCATGATTGGCGATACGCACCCATCTTTGGTGCAGATATCAATGAAGCAATCATACGCATTGACATCGCTACCACAGCACCAACGACTCAACATCATTGGATGATGGGTGTGGATCTATTCGTATTTGCCCCACTATTTAATTTGGCTGTTGTCATGTACAACTCTTACCTCTACCCAGTACCACAATCGTACAACTGTACCATTCTGCCAGTGGACAACATATATGGGGAAACCCACCCTAGAGGAGTCATTGTTCTGCATTTCGTCCATGATCATTGGATCAACCTCTCTTTCCCGCGGACAAGATACCGATGCCCCCTCTACATGGCATGTGGCCAGGCGGTCACCAAGAAAGGTGGATGGATGGGAGACATATTTCGCGCCGTTTAGTCAAATGTGGTTCGATCTTGGGGGTGCGACGCATAGCTTTCCATCACGCAAAAAGAGGGTTCCAAAGAAATAAATTTGTACTCGTCCAGCTCATAAATAAATTGTAATGAACGTCTTCAATTTAAATAAATTGTAATGAAGTTTGTTTACGTCACATGGAAGCATGATATAATAAAAACATCCGAAGTACAACAAATAACATAAGTCATAATCAGATACAACAAATAACATAAGTCATAGTCCCAAAACAACAAATAAGCAACTGAACACATAAGTCAACTCGTCTAAAAACAACAAATAACACTCATACATATGACATAATAATCATACAACTACTGTGGAGGTGGTAGAAAACCCGACTTCCTCCTAAACTCGGGCCACATGTTCCCAACTCCATGACATAAGTCGTAGTACTCATTGGCGCTAGTCATCCACTCCTCCCTACTACCCTGTGCAGCATCCATCACAGGAGATATCTCAATCCACATCTCGCGTGACAACTGTAAACAAAAACCATACAATTTAAATACATGTTAGTTACAATCAAAACATTTTTTTAACTTAATACAAATAATTTCAAATATGATTGTACTAACCGTATCAGCATCCGAGATGTCGTGAACAGGTCGGCTGTCACTCAGTATAAGTGGGTGCGAGTGCCTAATGTACCAACCCATGTAATCATCAGCAACCTCCCATGGCCTACGTCATATCGGAGTAGAATAAAAGTCCAGATGCACACTATGCGCCCCCAAGTTTTTCCAATACAAATCATAAACAGACTGGTAGCTAAGAGAATATCCAAGCGTGGAAGCAGGTCGACGCACAACAAGCGGAGGCTCCGGGCGATACGGTAAACTCTGCACGTAGCCAAACTGTCGGAGGCACCTAGTAGGATCATAATATTCTACTATCTCTGCAAATCTGAGCAGGCCCTGATACAATGTACGTCTCGCCGTCAGATGAAGATGCTGACCATACGGAGTCCAACAAACTGACTGAGGGGTCAAACTATCAATTGCCTGCCGATAATAAGCCAGCATCTGTGCATCCCTCTTCTTACTCGACCGGGGTGCTGTACCGCGCCACCTGAATGCTCCTGCCTGCCCCCGCTCCAGCTCTCGTGGCTCCAACCGACTAGGTCTCAAAGTAGGAAAGTGGTCGTAAATCCAACACTGTAGTAAAGTCAGACAACCCGCCACTCCCTTAGCCTCCGCCCGGGAGGCAATACCAAGCTGCCTGTATAGATAAGCAAGTGCTCCTGCCCCCCACGCGTACTCTCCTAGCATATCCGGCCTCTTCACAAACAAGTTGACAACAGCAGAAACGCGGTCCTTACTCTTATCTACGAACAGTGTGGACCCAAGCAGCAAAAGAAGGTAACACTGAGCCTCTGTAGCTGGCGGACCAGACTGCTGCAAATAAGTCAAAGCTCCCACACCCAACAAACCAAATCCTCTGTACCACCTAGACAGACTAGCAACCTCGCCAACCTGCGCCTCGTACTCATCCTCGTCACGATCTAATCCCTGTAGTGCTCGGATGTCAGTCTCCAGTGCACACTTCTCCAACTGCCTCGGATCCACTACCATCGCCTCTCCATCAACCG